GCTGGGCAACTTTGGTTTTAAAACCATATAAATCAACGGTGAATTTTGCAAAACACATAGTGGGATTCATAACTTTTACAGTGAGATTTACTACTTCTATAGTGGGTTTTGCAGCCTTATGTTTATTGAGCTAGGCAACTTTGGTTTTAAAACAATAGAACTCGGCAGTGAATTTTGCAAAACACATAGTGGGATTTACAACTTTCACAATGCTATTTACTACTTGTATATTGGGTTTTGCAGCCTTATGTTTATTAGCCTGGGCAACTTTGGTTTTAAAACCATATAACTCGGCGGTGAATTTTGCAAAACACATAGTGGGATTCACTACTTTTACAGTAAGATTTACTACTTCTATAGTGGGTTTTGCAGCCTTATGTTTATTGAGCTGGGCAACTTTGGTTTTAAAACAATAGAACTCGACGGTGAATTTTGCCAAACACATAGTGGGATTTACAACTTTCACAGTGCTATTTACTACTTGTATATTGGGTTTTGCAGCCTTATGTTTATTGGGCTGGGCAACTTTGGTTTTAAAACAATAGAACTCGGCGGTGAATTTTGCAAAACACATAGTGGGATTTACAACTTTCACAGTGCTATTTACTACTTGTATATTGGGTTTTGCAGCCTTATGTTTATTGGGCTGGGCAACTTTGGTTTTAAAACAATAGAACTCGGCGGTGAATTTTGCAAAACACATAGTGAGTTTACAACTTTCACAATGCTATTTACTACTTGTATATTGGGTTTTGCAGCCTTATGTTTATTAGGCTGGGCAACTTTGGTTTTAAAACCATATAACTCGGTGTTGAATTTTGCAAAACACATAGTGGGATTCACAACTTTTACAGTGAGATTTACTACTTCTATAGTGGGTTTGCAACCTTATGTTTATTAGGCTGGGCAACTTTGGTTTTAAAACCATATAACTCGGCGGTGAACTTTGCAAAACACATAGAGGGATTCACAACTTTTATAGTGAGATTTACTACTTCTATAGTGGGTTTTGCAGCCTTATGTTTATTGAGCTGGACAACTTTGGTTTTAAAACAGTAGAACTCGGCGGTGAATTTTGCAAAACACATGGTGGGATTTACAACTTTCACAATGCTATTTACTACTTGTATATTGGGTTTTGCAGCCTTATGTTTATTGGGCTGGGCAACTTTGGTTTTAAAATAATAGAACTCGGCGGTGAATTTTGCAAAACACATAGTGGGATTTACAACTTTCACAATGCTATTTACTACTTGTATATGGGTTTTGCAGCCTTATGTTTATTAGGCTTGGCAACTTTGGTTTTAAAACCATATAACTCGGCGGTGAATTTTGCAAAACACATAGTGAGATTCACAACTTTTACAGTGAGATTTACTACTTCTATAGTGGGTTTTGCAGCCTTATGTTTATTGAGCTGGGCAACTTTGGTTTTAAAACAATAGAACTCGGCTGTGAATTTTGCAAAACACATAGTGGGATTTACAACTTTCACAATGCTATTTACTACTTGTATATTGGGTTTTGCAGCCTTATGTTTATTGGGCTGGGCAACTTTGGTTTTAAAACCATACAACTCGATGATGAATTTTGCAAAACACATAGTGGTATTTACAACTTTATCAGTGCGATTTACTGCTTGTATACTGGGTCTAACAACCTTTTGGCAGGCTGGGCAGATTTTTTGTCATGAACAATACAATTCGATGCTGAATTTTACCAAAAACCAGCAACAATATGACAGCAGATACATTACATATATTCAAATGACTGCACCTCAAGTACATCACGGTAAACATTGAACCATTAACTTTCATACTAACTACACGTGCAATGGAATTTACCATTCACGCAACAGTATTTACCAAAAACCAGCAGCAATATGACAACAGATACATTACATATATTCAAATGACTGCACCTCAAGTACATCACGGTAAACATTGAACCATTAATTTTCATACTAACTACACGTGCAATGGAATTTACCATTCACGCAACAGTATTTACCAAAAACCAGCAACAATATAAGAGCAGATACATTACATATATTCAAATGACTGCACCTCAAGTACATCACGGTAAACATTGAACCATTAACTTTCATACTAACTATATGTGCAATGGAATTTACCATTCACGCAATAGTATTTACACCAAAAAAATCACCATATCTATTGACATCTAACTTCAACTTGGGTTTGGATTCTTGCATGTTCTTCTTGTGTGCCCAACTTGTTGGCATGTGCTACAATGGTAGATCTTCCTATTTTGGAACTGTGACTCTCGCCTTTTTATTTTAGGCCTTCTTGGTGGTCGATTAGTTAAAGGTAGTGCCAAGAACACTTGACTTGCTATATTTTCCACCCAGTAATTGTTAGGATTTGGCATGTCTATTGTCACCACTGGAATCATAGTCCTGCCATAAATCTTTTGTTGTGATGTAATCTTGTAGCATTCATCAACAAAATCATACACATTGCAATTCACAGCCTTAATAGCTGCACAGGCATGGGGACATGGAATGCCTGACATTTGCCAAGCTGCACAAGTACATTCACCTAGACCAAGATCAACATGTACAGCTCCTTTTACTGTATGGACACACACCCTACCTCCTCCATAAGGTACACTCAACATATGTGCTGATCTCGCAACATTGTCCACCAATTTTACATCTATGTTTGGGCCTACACCATTTTTCCAATTACTCATTGCTATGCTTGCTGCATACATCTTCTTTGCCACTTTCTCATGATGCTCATGTATAAGTTGGGCAACCTTATATCGTCTCTCTTTCAACATCCAAGCATTGAATGACTTAGCAAGGTTTGTTGTGATGTTATCCCACCGTTTAAATGGGAATTTACTTAAGGCCCACCTTTCAACATCACTATGATTAAAAAGCTACTTAAATAATTGTGGATTGAACTTTCTCATGTTATCCATTGCACCATCAAACTCGGTGTCAAGCCTTACATATGCAATGGCATCCAGGTATTACAGTCCCTCCTCCCTTGCTTTCCCACTAGTCTTCCTCTTTCCTCTATTTAATTTAATCATTTATGTACTGAAGTTTTCCTTAACATGTCTGTAACAGTATGCATGCCTCTCACCACCAAATATTGCTTGCACAGCACCTATTATTGCATTGTGTCGATCTGACACAATTGTCAATTCCGTCGACCTAACTATCTCCTTAATCATGTATAAAAACCATGTCCAATCCTCAAGTGTCTCTCCCTTTATAATAGCAATCGCAAAATCATTGTCAGCTTCATAAGCAGAGGTCGACAGTAACATCCCCTTATACGGTCCACTTAAATGACATCCATCAATGTACAGTATATGTCTAGCACTAGCTATAAAGCCTTCTATACAACACCCATATGCTATGAATGCATGCTCAAATGTGTTATTAGTATTACCTACCCATATGGCCATAGTTTTGTTATCTGTTTCCTTCAACCGTTCACATATACATGGAATAAGCATATAAGACTGGTCAGGCCTGCCATGTCTGTCCTCTAAAGCCTTTTGCTTCGCCCTATATGCTTGTTTATATGTCAACTTCACACCATAATCTCTTTCCAAAGTCTTCCTTATATCATTTGGACGCCTGTTTATGTGATCATTTAACTCATCAGTGATGATTGATGCTGTCAAGCTAGTTGAACCATAATGTTCCATACGAAGATTGTCTTGTGCATTATGAACATGCTCATTTATGAATGTTGCCACACGTAAAAAGGGAGTACTCTTTCTACCCACTCTTGCACTTATCCTCCACGGACAACCTTTAACACTACATTTCACATACATTTTTTTCCCTACAATTTTTCACATACTTGTACTCAAACTTGTTTGCAATATTGAACTTACGTACTTTTTTCTTGAAATCTTCTACATTTGCAAAAGTCTGGTTCCGTCCTAACAACAATTTCTTCCATTTCAAAGAATTCATCTCCGGCAAAGGTGTAGGTGCACTCACTACTCCGTATGGCAGGCTTACATTAGGTCTTTCACTGCCTCCAGAACTTGTACTTTCCAAAGCATTTCCCTCTAACGTAGGCTCATCACTCTGTTCTGATAGTCCTACCATTCTTGAGATCCTGCATTTATAATTACCACTGTTGTTAAGAGATTTTACTATAATATTACAACAATTATCAACTTTCATAACCACAAAAAAAAAATTTCTCACTTACGTTTCTGGATAACCCATTCCTTCCTCCACATTGTCACTACCTTTATGTGCTATATAAATATGTGTATTACGATCATTATATTAAAATAGATTATCAACTTCACCATCATCTATAAGATCTACCAATACCCTCTCATCAAAACTCGAAGTGTATTTAATATCACAGCCATGACAATCCATGCTGAACCATTCTCCTATCATTGTCCTCAAATCTTCAAGTTTTGTACCCTCATTTATTACTCTTACTCTGACAGTCCCACCACAGTATTTAACTTCCACATCGTCATTTTCTACAAACTTCCCATCTAAGTGAAAATAACAAGCAAGTCTTTTTGAAGATGTTGATACAATGTTACAAGACATCACCACTTACTAACCTGCAGCAAACAACATTAAATAATAAAAAATTAACTTCTCCGCCAATTAGTTTCCATCAACGTATGTGACACCCAAAACACACACAAAGAGAAACTTTTCTTCTATTCGCAACTTTATTATAGGGTTTCACAACTCTATTATTGATTTTAACAACGTTCACCACCTGAACGCAAACTTCACGTCTACGTAATTGCTTGCCACCTTTTTTTTATTTCCGCTACGTCATTTGAAATAGTCAATATAAAGTATAAAATCTCATTTCCAACACACCCGTTCCCACCATTGCGCCATAAAGCAGACACAAAAAAGAACTACCCAAACCCTACCATCCCGTAATGCGACATGTTCACTCTCTCTCTTGCTACAAACCCTCTTGCCCACAACCAAAATCTATTAAATCAGCAATCCCAACAAAATGGTGATGCGGAGGCATAAGATTATACCATTTCCAAAGACTACCGACTTAAACTTACCTCTTTTCAACTTTAATGTGTTGCTCCAGCATTCCTCTTTCCTTCTTTATGTGCAGCTCAACCGGTGCTCCTATGTTTATTTTTGTTTCAGTTTCACTTCCTTTTACCTCACTAATAAGGGCATTTCAGTCTTTTGGCCAAAAATCTGAATTTCAGATTGGTACCCAGTGCCCTATTTGTCATTTTGCTTATTCAAGTGCCTTATTTGTCTTTTTGAAATTCAGGTGGTATTTTGTTGTCATTTTTCCAAAAAAAAATCTATTCTCAACATGGTCAAAAGAATCAAGCCATCACCCACCCACTACGTTCCTTGACGGCTCATAAACTCCAAACCTTTGAAAATTCTATCATCTTTACAAAACTAAATAAATCCCTCCTTAAACTCCCACAAATATCACACAAACTATCATGGTAATAACAATCATGGCACACAAATCCTCGTTTCTGCTCTCATTCTTCTTCTTCCACTTTCTCTCCTTATTACTTATTGCAGCCCATGCAACCAGCTTCAACTCAATAATACTAAATCCATCTGCAAGACCAACACTACAAGCGCAGAACAAGAAGCAGAGCCGCTTGATTATAGATATTCATGTTTGGACCGAAGTGGTGTGGCTCCATCAAGCAAATACCAAAGCAATCTCAAGAATCTCATATCTTCACTTTTTTCTGATTCTTCAACCGGCAATGGATTTGGTAACAGAACTGCAGGTAGTGATAAAGATAAGGTGTATGGGCTTTATCTTTGTAGAGGGGATGTGAATTCAAGTTTATGTCATTCTTGTGTTCAAGATTCTAGCAGATTGATCCAACAGCATTGTCCCAATAATGCTACTGCAGTTTTATGGCACCCATTTTGCCTTCTCAGATATATCCTGTTAAATTTATATTTCTGTAAGTAACTTGTATATGGGTCTACTTAAGCAAGAAGTTGTCAATCAAAATTTATATCTGGAATACTGGTTGATACCATTTGTAGTCTCTAAAGTTTGAAACTAGTGTTTTTAGATGGACCAAAATAAGGTCAAATTTTAAGGACCAAGACTATTGGTTTCAAGTTTCAAGAATGAAAACCAAAACGAAGTCCAATTTTAGGGACTAAAGATGGTATTAATCTTCTTGAATGTATAAGATAAGAATTTATCATCATGATCAGACTATAATTATACCATTTGTATTGATTACATGAATTTATGTCACCGACTTGATTCATGAAAGAAATTCTGCTAGTATTAAATAGGTACTCCAACGAGGATTTCTTTGGCAATCTAACTCTGAGGCCTCGGATTCCCATGTTTGATGCAACACAAAACTTAACGAGTGCAGGAGAGTTCGACAGTGACGCTAGGATTCTGATGAACGGTTTGATACAGACAGGTTCAGAGACAAACCTGATGTTTGGGACACACGTGTTCAACATAAATGGCACCCAGAAAAGGTATGGTTGGGTTCAGTGCAGCAAAGACATAACTAGTGAAGAGTGCAGAACATGTCTGAGCAATATGCTTGAAGAAGTTGAAAATTGCTGTGAAGGCAAGAGGGTTTGGAGAATCTTTTCTCCTAGCTGTATTGTTATGTATGAGACTCAGCCTTTCTTTGTAAATGATACTGGGTTGATTGCTCCAACGCCCCAGCTAGGTACCATTTTGTTTCTTTCATGATATAGTAGGTACAGTTTTGTGCATTTCATGGAACTCAGAAAATAAATTATGCTATTCACAACTTGTAAATAATATGATATGTTGACATAAACGTGAAAATAACCTCTTTTCTTGAAGATATTCTAAAAATAGTCATCAAAAGTTTGATTGTATATGCAAATCCGTTTGCATCTTTCATTGTCAGTGAGCATGTGAAAACTAAAGATGAACCTCTTGTAAATTACTTTCCAGGTCAGAAAACCTTGAAAAAAATAGGCTGCAATTTTATTTTATTTATTTATTTTGCAATTTTGCAGGTGAGGAAAGTAGTAACAGGTCAATGCTTAGAGTTATCGTTGTTATAAGTGTAGTAGTAGTACTAGCTCTACTGGTTTTCTGCACAATCTACTTCAGGTTCTTGAGAAAGAAAAAAGGTTAAGTTCTAAGTGAAAAGTCTTCAAGAATTTCATTCAACAAATGGGGCATAAATTTTTATTGTCTTATTATGCTTGATAACAATGATTGCAGACAAACAAGCAGTGCAGGAAGATGGGCTAAATCCAGTATTTTCTCAGGATCAAACTGACGAAGAGAATTCTATGAGTATTGACCTTTCGATAATGTCCCTGAAAACTATTCTTCAAACTACTTGTAACTTTTCTGAAGAATGTAAATTGGGAAAAGGTGGATTTGGCTCTGTATACAAGGTACTGAATTTACATACTACATACACTTGCTTATTGAAGTTATTTTCACCTTCTCCACCTTCCCAACATTATTAGATTTAGTTTATGTTAGAACTTTCTTTAACCTAATCCTACACTTAAAATTTTGAAATCAAGGGAGACCAGACCAGGTTATGGGATTTCGGAGACCAGGTTAATGAGGTATTGTACTAGAGTATTTAAGCAAGTTAGTCCTCTATCTCAATATCTAACTTATGTTGAAGAGTTCTCAACTTTAAGATGCCCATCCATTAGCATCGGAGTTTGTAAGTTGACAACTTTAGTCAACATAGAAGGTGAATGAAGTGGCGCAGTAAGTGCCTTCCAAGACATCAACTCTCCACAGGAGGAAATTGATGGTGATAATGTATGGGATACTTAGTTCCAATTGAAATTGTATGAAATACTTTATATGTTAGTTCTTCCAACTTGGCTCGTAGGAGAGGTTTCTTCACACTACTTGGATCCCCGTAAAAAGAAAAAATTTGCACTAACATCTCTTATATTAAGCTTTGAAAAGGTCATTAATCTTTAGGTAATTTTGCATTATTGGATCAGGCCACTTGAAGTTTCTAAGGTAAAAAAATTGCTCAAGGTAAAATCTCTCCTTTGAAAGATAGTAGCTTTGCAAAATTCAAAGCAAGGAGGATGTGACTATAAATTTGAAAACTTCAAAGATAAATCAGATTTATTCAAGTTTAATTGTTTCTCTTTCAACTTTCTTACGTTTGAAAGCAAAAAAAATGATGGTTACAGGGTGTTTTACCTGATAGGAAGGAAATAGCAGTAAAGAGGCTGTTAAAAACTTCAGGGCAAGGATTAAAAGAGTTAAAGAATGAAGTAATATTGATTGCAAAATTGCAGCATCGGAACCTTATGAGATTGTTAGCTTGCTGCATTGAGCAAAATGAAAAGCTACTTGTTTATGAGTACATGCCTAATTCTAGCCTCGATTTTCACCTCTTCGGTAAGTTACACATACTTCTTTTGAGTTTCACTAAATTTTTACAAACATCCCTATTGGGTATGGGTAGCATTTTATATTTATAAAAATCTGCCGTTCAACTTTTTCTCATTAATCCCATTTCATCTGGGTATCAGCAGACTCTGCAATTCTTATAATTTTATTGCTTTCAGATATGGAGAAGCATTCCCAGTTGGAATGGAAGTTGCGATTGAGCATCATTAATGGAACTGCAAAAGGACTTTTGTATCTCCATGAAGACTCTAGACTAAGGGTTATTCATAGGGATCTAAAAGCTAGTAATATACTGTTAGACCATGAAATGAATCCAAAAATTTCAGATTTTGGATTACCAAGAGTTTTTGGAGGCAACCAAAGGCAAGCAAATACTATCAGAGTTGTGGGTACCTAGTAAGTTCAATTTATAACGCCTTCTGTTATTGTTATAGCATTTGAAAGCCAATATTTTCATATGAATACACAATATAAAATTAACTATATTGATTTATTTATTTTTATTCTGAGCAGTGGTTACATGGCTCCAGAATATGCTATGGAAGGCTTGTTTTCAATAAAATCATATGTATTTAGCTTTGGTGTTCTCCTACTAGAAATCATTAGTGGAAAAAAGAATGGTAGATTCTACCTTTCAGAGCACGGTCAAAGCCTTCTCATATATGTATGCTTTCTGACTGCCTCTCTTCCTCGACAATATACCACAGGGAACAAATCAATTGGAATTTTCAAGCTTTTGAACAGTAACAACACAATTCATCTTCTTAGGCCAAGATCTGATTCCAACTTTGAAAAAACAAAATATGCCTTTTCCTTTCAAGCAATTGAAATATCCTTGATGACTTCAGAAACATTGCTCCATGGGCCATAATTTTATTGAAAAAATCCTGAACCAACTACTTGAAAAACTAACTAAAACTTAAAGCATTTTTCTTATAAAATTTGCTTTTTAATCTAACCTAAAAACGCATTTACCATGTAGGCATGGAGGCTCGGGTGTGAAGGGAAGGGCTTGGACCTAATGGATCCAATATTAGAAAGGTCATTTGAACCTTCTGAAGTTCTCAAGCGCATCCAAATCGGCCTCTTATGTGTGCAAGAAGATGTAGCAGACAGACCAACAATGTCAAGTGTAGTACTTATGCTTGCAAGTGACTCAGTGAACCTTCCAAGGCCAACACAACCTGCATTGTCTGTTGGAAGAGGTTTCACGGAGAAAGAGCCTTCATCAAAAAATACTACCCATGACTCCATCAATGGAGTAACTATTTCTGAAGTTTTAGCTAGATGATCCTAAGGACTAGACAAGACTTTCTTTCTGTAAGATTGTGATGGCATGGATGAATTTTGTACATAAGAGTGGCTATTTAAATTATTATAATCCTCCAAGATAATTTCCTATATTTTTTTCCAAAATCATTGAGGCCTCTAAATATTTTTCATAATTAACTTTTGGTTACTCTTACTTAGTATAACCAAAAATTCCTGTAAATAGAAAATTCTATATTTATTTATTTCCCTTCTAATAATTCCTTTGGACCTCAAATATAGTCTCTTAACCTTTATTTATATTTTTCATAATTTTTTGAGAATTTTTGAGAATTTCTAACTTAAATTCCCAATTAAATATTTCTTTAAACGATATTTAAAATATCAGTCTGGCCTTTGTCCGGATTTCAAAATTCATACTGGTGCTAGCTATAATTTCCTCTACCTCAACTAGCCCTTGATCTATTTAATTCCTTTCATCTCAGGGTTAAGATTTCCGAGATGTTACATTATCCTAGCACGACCATAATAATTCTAACTACTTTCAGTGATTCGGTAGGCTTCCACTGCTTTACTGAAATGTTTAATTTGCCTTGAGGCTACATTTTCTCTTAGCTCTAGCCTTAGGCCCCTAATCGTTTTCTTAGTGAACCATTGTTCATCATTCATAAGTTGCAGATAGGTAGATTACCAAGATAACTTAATGTATCTTGCCAAATACTCATCGAAAGGTTCATTTTCCGCTTGCTTTATAGTGAGAAATTCAGCTTCTTTCTTATCCCGCACTGATTTAAGAAAATACTTCTAGAAGAACTGGTCCTTAAAAGATTCCCAAGTGATCGGGGTCTCAACAGCTTGAAGGTCTATCTCTGAGTTCTTCCATCACCTATTAGCTTTTTCCTCTAACTTGTAGATTGTCATCTATGCTTTAGTCTCAAATGAGCAATCCATCACTCTAAAGATTTTCTCTAACTGGGTAATCCTGTCTTTGGCTATTTGCATATCTAGTGTGCCCTCAAATGCTGGTGGATTATGCTTGCAAAAGTGCGTAATCCACTGTTGTAAATTATTTGGTTCCTTTACAGGCCTTGCTTGCTCTACTATCGATTCCTGGGTTTAAGGTTGGACTTGTTAGACTATCCTAGTTGCTCCTTGCTCAGGTCGTTGTAACTGTGCTATGGCTACTATTACTGCTACTGCTATTACAGCATCCTTTTCTTGTTCCTAGCGAGCTTAGGTTGCTCATAACTCTTGTATCATTTTTTGTTGTTCCTCTAATCGGTTCATTATTATTTGAATCGGGTTAATAGGGGGCCTATTCAGTTCTTTCCCTATTTGTATGTTACGTCTCGTCCTCACTATACTTGTTATTTCTTTTCAACCACAAAAAGAACAACATCATGACATAACCTTTAATTTTTATTTATAACCTTTGTACACATATATAAAACAGCAGCATAGTTTAACCAGTATCACATCTAGTAATTTAGTAAATAGGAGTAAGGATATTCCTAGGCATTTAAGGGCTAGAATAATAGGAACAAATAGAAGGATACAATTCCTAAAATTTATGTCGGTATTGGGGCAAAATACATTTTTTCAAAAGTTATGAGCAGCTTATGTAATTTTTGAAATATGTTAGAAATTCCCAAAAATTATGGAACCTAGGAAAAAGTCCCCTGGACACTATATTAATTGTTAAAAGGAAGAATTTTGATGGAAAGTATTTATTCTGATTTTCCAGTCAGTTTTAAAAGCTTGACTAATTAAAGGAAATTGACCAAAAAGTAATTAGGAAAAAATTATTTTCAAGGCTCAGAAAATTGAGAAAAAATAGGGATAATATACATTGAGAATTATATGATAGTGTATACGAAATTTTATGCCCAAATTATCCCTAGAAAAATTATAAAGGAATTTAAGTTTGAATTAGGCCAAATTAAGGTCTTTTATTTGGAAAATTCCAAATAAATACTTGTAAGGAAAATTAAATCTCAAGAAAATTCACAAGGTATTCTAAGGAATTATAAGAGATTATAAAGTAGAAGAGAGGCCCTTAAATGCTCATAAATTTCTTAACAGCTTTGCCGAATAAAGAAAACACTATAAAAAGAAAAATAGTTTTTCTTTGTAATTAGTAGAAAATTGAGACGGTGATAAAGGAGGGCATTTTGTGAAGAGGAAAATGAGAAGAATGTGGATCTGACAAAAAATAACTATAGTAGCCAGCATATTGTAATTATAAAATAAGAATTAATCTCAGAGGAAAGTGTACTGATAAAGTGAAAAGCTCTCTCTTATCTTTTACTTGGCCCACAAGTTGCCACTTGTCAAGTTACCAATGGAGGGGATTTAAAGGCCATTTGTCAAGCCAAGGGTGGAGAGGATTTTGACTTTGGAAATTGATTTTCATTTGGAATTAATTTAACACTGGAAAAGGGTTCAAGAAGGTATAGGAACTTAACACCTCATTATAATAATTTGCTTGATCTTGGATGGCAATTGTATGGACTTGGCCTATAAATAGATACTCCCCCCCTCACAAAACCACCATTTTGTCCAACCTTGGGAAAGTTCTTGCCAATTTGATTATTGAAGTGCAACCAGAAGGAAAGCTACTACCTTTGATCAACCAAACTTGGATCTAAGGTTAGTAGGTTGTTTTATTATGTTTCTTGCTTTGAATGGTTGGAAAATGTTGTTTCCCTAAGAGAGAGGTGCTGGCCAAAATGTTATAGGGTTAGGGGAAGGAGGTTTTGATGTTATACCTAGCTAAAGCACATTAAATAGAGCTTGTTTCAAGTGGTTTTTGTGTTGATATGTGAAAGATTTCATGTTTTGGTTGTTGATGGTGCTGTTTGGCCAATCTGAAATTAGTGCCCTAGGATGTGATTTTCATAGTTTTGATGCTTCTATTATGTTTAAAATGGAAAATGGTATAGGGTAAACCTAAAGAACAAGTATTGGAAGTATTAGAATTAAAGTTGGAATTTTTGGATTTCAAGAACCCCTGTTCAGCCAACACTATTTCTTGGGAAAGAAGTTTTCCTTTCATGAATCCAAGTTTATATTTGGATTCTACATGAGAAATTATGTAGGATTGTCCTAAGAGGGTAATTCTTAGATTAAAGAAAACAAAGCTCTAAAATTCAAAGAATTAAGGGTTAAGGGGTTACTTAAGTGTTGCTTTTGAGTCTTGTGTGGTTTAAAGTTGTAATGTGGTTGCCCTTTTTTGCAATGTGATATTTAGGCTTTGATATTTGTGGAGGGAAGGAGCAAGAAGAAAGATCAAAGAAGCAATTGGATCAACGTAGCAAGATTTAATTAACTTTTAATATTGACATTGCATTAATTATCAATGCATGGATTATTGCTATTATGTTGTTGAACTATGATGATTGTGATGTGGCTACTCCTTCCATTATATTGCCTTGGGTATTGTATGTTAGAGATTGCCTAATTATGAGAGAATTATTTCTCTAATGATAGCTAATGTTGAAATGCTTAATGATGATGCATGTTTGATGTTATGGTTGATTTATCCTGCTATTGGGATTTCAATGAAATCTCATTTCTTTTGAATGTAATTCAATATTCTAGGGGCTGAACCATCCAAGAAGAAAAAGAAAATTCAAAAATGAATCATGTATAAATTATGAAACCACTTGTCTTTTGACAATATATAACAATGTATGCATAGATGCTGTAACCCTACTAAGATATTGACTGGGAGCTATGTTTTGACTATGTTATTGGACCAATTAAATTCTGAAATTTGGCATGCCATTGCATATTAATTAATTTTCTCTTTTTGAAATAACATCTTTTGAGATTTATTGTATTTTATCTTTCATCTTGTGACTTTAGAATGTTTCGATGAGATTATTTATATTGGCAAAGAAAACAAGATTTTTCACATTGACAAAAGTTGCTACATATAATCTTTCCGCACGATTGTAAGGGAAAAATGAACGTAAATAGCAACATGTTAGGAACGTGACGACAAATCCAAAGGCTCCAATCACCAACTGAGCAGTCCAACTGCTTCATCAACTACATCCATCCATGGTATTAGTATTGTTCGTTCCGCAATCATGGAAAATGGGGTTAATTAAATGTATAATTAACATCGAAAAGAAAAAGAAACTATGGACAACATACACATCATACTTGTTACTGTTTCTTGAGTTCCTTCTCACACTTCTTCATTGATGCAACGAGTCTTCCAAGCTCCCCAAGCTGAGAGGGCAAACCACAAAGATGTTAATGGCAGAGAGGAAGGAGGCCATTGTTGAATTATACACAGTAAAACCATAGGGAAAGAACAAGGGAGTTAGCCACAAACCTCTGCCGAGTTGCTACATGCTGAGGAATCTGTCCAACGAAAAAGCAATATTCGGCCAATCAACTCAATATATTCATACATACAAGAATAATCCAAGGAAAAAAATTAAAAGATAAGGGAAAAATTTTGATTTCTACCTCATAGATGCCTGATCTCCCAACCCGCGCAAATTAATCAGGAAACCAAAAAGTTAACAGAGCAATGCATTTTGGGACTGGAATAAAGCATTACAGGGCCACAATGAGGAACGGGAATTAAGGAAAAGGAGTTCCACGTGGTCATTGATAAACTGCATTGTAAAAGATACAAGCAGTGATGGCTCTAGAGAACATCAAAATATCAATTAATTTGCAACTTCCTTTCTATGTCAGAATCCCTCTTCAGGTGGAAGAACAGACCAATAATTTGAGAAATAGTTAATTGTCTTGAAACTTTTTCTAAGCTGAAGAAAAGAGTAATATCCACATCGGTAGAAATACCTGGTTTTCTTCATTTAAATAAATCAGGACTTGGCCCAGAAGAAAAAGGAATTAAGAGGATGAAGATCAGTACGAAGATTTTTAGAAAAAATCCATATGAATAAACTAAAAGGATTAATCTATTTAAAGAAGCAAAACAAAAGGAATAAATAAATGTGTAGAGTAATTATTTTAGGATAAAACAGAGTAACTTAACAT